CATTATCAAGAGTCCTGTAACATGTTAATAGATTGTTAATGGTGTTACTGTGATTTCACTCACACTATAATAGTCACATATCATTCAAAATACAAATGACAATCTATACATGTATTATAATATCACTCACTACTACCGTTCTCTTTTTAGTCAATACAAAACTATTACAACCATGCTTATGAACAAGACTGTTAATTAGTTGTGTTTATCACACTGTTGATTATTAGACTATATGTTATAAAGTCATTGAAATGACTTGCCATTAGGCATTAGTAAACAAGTCATAACATAACAGAGCCCTCATCAATATGTCGATAGCAAACAAAACTAAATTGAGTCAACCAGAACATAAGAACAAAATGACAATTATGTATAATGTAGTTGTAAAGTTTGATTGAGATTAGTCAATGTATGTCAGAAACATGCGGCTCAAGAACAGTATTTGCATTCAGTCATTTTGAATCAGATCTGAAAAACATTATGGTTTCATTATACATGTTCCATGTTTGTAAAAAGATAGGTCTAGAATGGCAGAGCTGCTTGATTTTGATGCATTTGGCCATCTTAAATCTGATTGTCAAACAAATACACTTGCATATATAAAATTTGGACATGATCAGTCAAGGAATGTCAGAGATACATTTCCAGAACCAAAATCATTAAAAGAAAATGGTCATCAATCAACCATTTTGAATCTGATCCAAAAAACAAAATGACATGCATTAATGTCCCATTGATGTTCAATGTATGTAGAGGTCAAAACACAAGTCAGACCTGTCAGCTAATTTTACGCCATTTTGTGATCTTAAATTGGGTTGTGAAAAAAAAGTACACAATGTACCATGATGGCAAAGCAGGTCAGAGATATATCTCTGGAGCAACCAGTTGTTCATTTGAAACCGATCTAAAACAACAAATAACATGTACCAAAATATCATTATGTTCAATGTGTGAACCAAGTTTTAACACAATTTTTCAATGCCTTGTCGAGATCTAATTCCAGAATGGCATAAATGCTTGATTTTTAGCTGTAAAATGGACTCCACCAATTGGCAATCTTAGTTAGATTGTGAGATGAATGCATATGTATGACATGATCCATGATTCAAGTGTTAAATTGATCCATGGTGCCATGTCAGGTATATGGTTCAGAAACAACATTCATTACAACAAGATGGCTACCAGTCAAACACATAAATATGAAATTATAAGTCCGTATTTTCAGACTTCATCAAAACAGAGACCAACAAATGCTGGGGTATGTATTAATTCCAAGGTTTCCAATTAGTACAGCTATATATCAAGGCAAAATTTTGGCAAGAGAAAAGCACATAATGAAACAAAGATTGAACAACAGATCATGAAGAGCATACAAAAAATGTATTACGAACATCTGGTTCTTGTGATCAGCAGTGTAAATGTCTTCATTCTGTACATGTCATCTTAAAAATTATACATCCTAGTCACTCAAAATTGAACTTGGTTGATAGTTTATAGTGATTTGTAATATTTTCAAGATTGAAGATGATCAGTTAAAGTTGTTTGACTTATAGGACAATGACAATTTAATGTTCTATTTTGACCAATATCTTTTAAAATGTATACAAGACCTGTCAAAATATACAATATATCCATTATATTGTTACCACAAGAAAAAAGTACACACCAGAGTCAACAACAAAAACAAATATTTTCTCTATTGACCTTTTCCTCCCTTTATGATACTGGGCAAGATATTAAAATAAAATATCATATGTGATAACTCATTTTTCTGACACCATTAATTACTCACATGCCTGCTCATTCACTTTGTTCACCCACACAGTCATTCATTTAAACAAAGTTTCATATGATTGTGAGTAGTGAGATATTTAGCAAGGAGGTCACATTTGAGTTGATATTACTGTTGTGAATCAGTGATAAATGTTACAAGTGTATAGAGTATAGTAAGGATAGCAGTATAACAGACAGCATGCTACTTACTGGTATTCTAGGTGTAGGGGAACCATCACTTTGGTCTCTACCCTGTTGTCGATGAACAGACCCACTCAAGTCAACCCCACCCACAGGTTTCTGCCCACCCCTCCCTGACAACTGCCTCTCAATGCTTTTAGTCATGTCTCTTACCAAAGCACCCTAGTAAAATAAGAGCACAAAATCAAAGTTATTTGATAAAAAAGCTATTAGAAAGGTACTTAAACAAAGGTACATGTACTTTTAACAAAATAGTCAAAGCAATGTTCAGGAAATGGTGAAAAACACATGAAAATAAAACTAATATGGATGCCAGTTGGCCATTTTGTATCAAATCACAAAACAAAAATCACTGTCAGTTGGTTAAATTTGATTGAAATCACAAAATAACTGAAGCAAACATGCAACCCATGTCTTGCCTTTGCACCAAATTCAAACAAAATCTGTAAAAGAGTGCTAAGAAATGGGAAGATCAGTTGTAGAAAAACAATATGACCGCAAGACCATTTTGATCAAATTGAAAAATTGACGTTCATCAGTAACACATTATGAGTGATGACAACAGCATACATGTTCAACAGATGATGAACTTTGTGTGATGGGGGCTATTAAAACAGTGCTGTGAACTGCTGTAGTAAGCAGTGATATCAAATATGCATTACATGCATAAATATATGCAATCTAAGAAACTAACAAGTGACTTTGCTCTGCTTGACTTTGTTGGGTTACAGACAATACTGACATGGATACTGATAACTTCTAAACTGAGAACAAACCATAATAAAGAATACAAACAGAACATCCTACAACTAACCAACTATACCCAAATTATAATATACCGGTACCATATTTGTACGATACAAGACATGGCTGATCTTTTGGTAGTAAAAATTATGTCAATTATTCATAAGACGCAGAAAATATCTATTACAGATCCAAGTTTCAGAATTGTGTCATAAGTGTCTTAATTTAGGAGAACATTTCAATCTATACACCAAGTAAAGAGGAAATGCAGACAATTTGGTGGATGGTAGGGGCTGTGAAATTTCAACTGTTTGTGAAGCATATTTTCAAGCCAATCAAAGGCCTTTTATTCTCTAAATTAGAATATTGATAGCAATATTCTTGATATCTTACAACTCTCAATGCTATTGTATTTTAGGATATAACGTATTGAAAAAGTGATAAAAAAAGCACCAAAAGATTAACCAAGGCGATGATTTGACCCAGCAGGGCGGGATATCGGACAAATACATTGTACAGTTAATAATATCAGTATTGCTTCCTTGGATATATTATTTTCTATCGGTTAATAGCAATAAATATATAAATGAATGGAAAAGTAAAAAAAAAAAGAAGTCAATATTACAATTATGAATCCATACATTTGATTGGTCAAGTGCTCGGCTAAATTTATTACCAAGCAATTATCCCTGAATTACTGTAAAATACTTTATATTCGCTTGGAATTAATTTTCACTATTTCGCTGAAGGAATGATTCAATGAAAATAAAATCCAGAGAACATACCTTTTTTCCTATATTTTCCATTCAACTTGTCAAAAATCAGAGAAAATAAATTCCATACAAAAGTGAAAGTTAATTCCAGCTAAAATAAAGTATTTTACAGTACCTCCATTTGAAGTATACCAATAATAGAGTATGAAGCCTGAATGCTGGAGTATTTTATACTATGATCCCAAATGATGTATGTGCTTATAGTAGTGAGAATACAAAGAATATTGAAGCTAGCAAATGTTATTGAGTGGTTTACACAATAGAAAGAAAAAAATAGCAAGACAACATAGATACTCTCAAGCATTATTTACAGCATACTAGATGTGATAACAATACTATAAGGAGACAATCATTCAGAAAAAAACAACACTTATTGGAACCTAGATAGCACATGAAAATAAAAGAAATAATAAATTCCAACAGGTGAGATTAAAAAAAGCCTACAGTGCCATTGAGTCCATTATCATCTGGCTCGAGTGAATCAAATTCTTCTTCAACATCGCTAAGTGATTTCAGTTCTGTTATTGGTTCTAGTCCACTGTTGAAATGCTAGTGAAATGCAGTGGTGAAAAGCAGTTAACAAATGTTAGCAACAATAGTGCAGAGGCTATAAAGCAGCAGGGAAGATTTGATTGACTGGTTAACTAATAAGCTGATTGTTAGATTATATGTATATTACGCAATTTAAATAACATTAACAATTATTATTTTGTCATTATACTGAATACTGTAAACTCATTAATTGTTCACTGTTTTTTAAATTTGCTATTTTTGCAGATAAGTAAAATTAGCTAAATTACTTTTGTGTGAAGATGTAAAATGATAGCACTCATTACAGTAAAATTGCTCAAAACATCAAAATAATGAAACTAAATACCAGTGAAAATAAATGGTTTTACAGAATGTCAGAAATACCAGCCTTAGACCAGGACTAGAAGACAGATGCAGCTTCACCACAGGCCCAGAGGTGGGTTAGTAGCTTTAACAATGGGATTAGAGGTGGTATGGTACCTGCAGCTTTAACAATGGGACTATAGAGGTGATATGGTAGCTTTAACAATGGGATTAGAGGCACAGCACAACACAAACACACATGGATTGAGAGGAATGTATACATCAGTTGCCCCATGGAAACAGCTACTCTTTGCAACAAGTACAACTATATCTTTTACATGCACTGGGAATAAGAACAATACACTCGACTGACAGCATTACATCACCTACAAAAGGATGCCATTCTCGCAAATATAATAGATGCAAGCCTTGCAAAAGGAAAAGAACTCCACAGCTAAGTGTACAGCTCACCATGGGAGTTAAAACCCACAATAATTCTGATTATGGGAGGACATGCTAACCATTATACCAGTTTCTTGAATACTTACCCGGGGTTGTCTGACTGCAGATGTTTGTTTAGTTGAAACTTCAGTGGAACTTTTAAGATGTTTTAATTCACTTTCTTCTTCAGAATCCCAATTACTTTCTGATTCTGCATCTTCTTCAGTCTCTTCTTCCTCCACCTCCTCCTCTTCTTCCTCCTCTTCTTCTTCCTCAGATTCCTCTTCACTATCTGTATCATCTCCGTATGTACCTCTGGTGTAAGTGGTTGTGTCCCAGGATCTGATTACACAATCATGATCACAATCAAGCATATAATTACTAAAACAAGTCTTTAGTTTTACAGTGAAATATGTTATATACATGTATTAATGTCAGTATGTCAATATGTAAATAAATAATCAAGATGACACAAATACATTCATGGACATGTTTCAATATCTTAGCACTTACCCTGTTGTTGACATTGTGGACATAGCTCCTATTTTATCAGGACTCCTTGGGGCCACAGGTGGTGGTGAAGTTGATGCAATTGCACGTGGCGGTTGTTTCTTTCTTCTTGGTGACCTGTCAGGGGTTTTAGAATTTCGTCCAACGCTCAGTAAATTGCTAGCTTTTTCCTTTTTAGCAACATTCTTTTTAGCTGTTAGTAAAACAAAATGTGAAAACAGTAAATTAAATTAAGTCAAACATAAATAATAAATAAAATGCAAAATTATATTACTTATATAAATATAATAACAATTTGGGGTTAATACACAAGACTTAATTGACAAAGTAAAATGTTGCATATGCAAATTTATCCCAATACTGGATAACAATGAAGTCTGTCTTCATAATGGTGTATAACCAACCCAGCTCTGCACTAGATCTGCACTGGATCGACACTGGGCTGGTCGTGAACCAGAATGAGTACCTTCATGATGGACGTCATGTATTTAGTATTTTTAACAATGTTACAAATTACCCCACAATAATGAGAAACAATTTATATTTTCATTTCAGTAACCACAAAAGGTCATCTGAGAGTTTGTTTTCAAACAATAAATCTGTGATTCAGTTTGGTACAGTGTAAACATGCAGTGATTGTGCTCCGGGAACAGTAATTTAATTTAAGACTGAATTGTTCCTAAATCTGAATCAAGTGTACATTATATTTGAGTAAACCAAGCTCACACTCCATAGAGTCAGATACTGGAATTAAGTATACCAAACTGACACTGATCCATAGTCACATTAGGGAGTTAAGTAAACCAAACTGACACTGATCCATTTAGTCGCATTTGGGAGTTAAGGTAGCGAGACTATTATTTGTGTTGAAAATAACGATTTTCACATTTATTTATTAATTGATGAAATGCACTATAAACTTTCATATGATAAAGTCAACATAACATAGAATGTCATGTAAGTTGGTTAAAATGTATATTTTCTGAAGGGAAGCAAGGCAGCCTCAGTAGTGTTTTCCAAAATCAACAATACAGGTTTAATCTGTGTGCCAATAAGTTTCAAAGATAAACTCAAGACAAAGCAATGTTAGGATGTGTTATCAGTAGCTATCTGACACACAATGAGTGTTTCCAAACATTCGAGTGGTTTGTCTCCGCCCCCGTTTGTTTCACAGATTAGTCATTTGCATATGAATGTGTCAGACACAAGGTCACACAGCCACTGAAAAAAATCATTGATTTTGGTGTTTTCATATGCCGAATTTATCCAATTATAGCTATCCCATTCCTTTATTTTTTTGGTTTCTAATAGCCTTACACATTT